AATTCTTTTGCTTCGCAGTTTCTGAGGTAACTCTGTTGCTTCCCAGTTTACCCTGTCTGTCACTTCCCTGGCCCTTCCCTTTCCTTTGGAGCTCTCCCTCCAAAGGTCACCTGCCTTAACCCTTACCTTCCTGTTACTCCTCAGTTTGCAGAGCATGCTTACTACTGGATAGTATCAAAACACACTATTAACTCTCTCCTGCTGTTAAATTAACTTGTTACCAGAGGGTTTAAATTTGCCCTCTTAATCAGGAGAAATGAAAGTAGTACAAATGTCGTTTTACCTTCAGAATTACACGTGGCATCAATTCTTATCTATTGATTAAATAATCTAAAGGATCAAATTGACTTAATTTGTTTAGAGGATATTTAAAGGCTGAGAACAATTTTATATCAATTAAAATTAGTGATAATTCCTTTATGATGGAACTGATGTAATTAGGATTAATTAGGTAGTTGCTACTTATCTTTTTTCTAATACATACTTTGTTTTTAAACATCTACTCAATAGTCCATTATGATAGCATGTGAATGATTTTACGTGAGAGCAATAGAGGAGCAGATGCTTCCTGATGACAGCTTCCCAATTTGTTTAGGAAACAGCCAGTGAGTCCTGGATTCACATTAACCTGAAGCATGGCAAGCGTGCAAAGAAATTTGTAAAGCAGAAACAAAAAAATGGAGAAATCAGTTTATTTCATAGCATTTTTAATGACTGCAATTTGGTCACACCCCCTTTTTTTGTTAGTATATAAGTTTTTTGAATGCGGATATGTTCGTTTTATCTTTACAATAACTAAGTGAAATTATGAATTTGTTTTGTAATGTGTGTATGTATATGAATGTTTTGCAGCAGTGACAAGATCTTCTGGAAGTTAAAATTGATTTCAAGATTGTCTATTACAGTGACTAAAACATTAGCTCAAAAAGAGGTAGAACAACAGCGTATGTAAAAAAGGAAAGTAGAACAATTACCTGAAGAAAAAAGAGGAATAGGCTATTATATGATGTATATAAAAATAAAATTCTCGATGTTTTTCTTATTTTTTTTTTATGTTACACCTACATTTTTTATTTATGGCTTTTTCAGTATTTGGTTAAAGAGTGAAAAATAATTCTCTTCTTTTAGGCTGACATAAAACTGAGGCTCCATGACTTTATGCAGTTGAGCGTAGATATTTAGATTTCCAAAGACTGCCTGAAATGACCGTATTTCTTTTATGTATCTCATCAGCAAAGTTCATGTCATCAGCTAGAGAGATACCATGAAAACTCTCAGGCTCAAAAATGTACTTCGTCTGCATAAATACTGTGTGTCATACTTAGAGAGACTGTAAAGTGCAGGATTACACATCAACACTATGTCTTTTTATGTAAGAAATCTTGAAACTGTTTGTTGGAAGTAAAGGGATTAGAGGTAGCCCTAAGAAGGATTCAGTAATCGGCCTTTGCATGCAGATCACAAGTACAGTGTGCCCACTAGAAACAGCAGAAAAAGAGATCTGAGAAACTTATTTTAAGTAAGTTTAGAAACTTTGTAGTACACTGAAGTCTGTTGTTTTACAGACCAGAGGAGTAGTGGTCTTAAAAAAAAAAGCTTAAAAGCTTGTTTTAGCTTTGAATTCAGCTGGATCGCAGAATCATAGAGGCGTAGAATAACAGAATGCATTGGATTGGAAGAGACATTTAAATGTCATCTAGCCCAACCCCCTGCCATGAGCAGGGACATCTTTAACTACATCAGGTTGCTCAGAGCCCCATCCAGCCTGGCCTTGAATGTCTCCAGGGATGGGGCCTCCACCACCTCTCTGGGCAACCTGTGCCACTGTCTCACCACTCTCATTGCAAAGAACTTCTTCCTAATATCCCGTCTAAATTTACCCTCTCTTAGTTTAAAATCACTGCCCCTTGTCCTCTTACAGCAGGCCTTGCTGAAATGATTGCCCCATCTTCCTTACAAGTTCCCTTTAAGTGCTGAAAGGAATGCTCGGTTTGAGAAACTACCTAAACTGTCTGTAAAAAAATACAGGATAATGGAAAATAAATGTGTCCACACATATTCCACTCTCCAAAAGAGTAAAGCAGTAAAGCTGCCTTCTTCCCTTCTCTGCTGCCTCTCCTGCCATCAGACCATACGTCTTCTGGGAAGGCCACTTCGGGATAAAATCACCTTTCTCTGGAATTACAGGATATTCTGGGAAGTACCTCGCTGTCTAATTTTCATCTGGCAATGTCAGGGATTCTTATAGATTTCTCAGTGGCCATTTCAAGGAACAATGAAGTTAGAAAGTCTCTTCTTTGTTTTCCTTTTCCTAATCTCACAAATGAAGACAGAAGTTAGCAGCTGAAATCTATGCTAACCCAGGAAGCTGAATTCTTAATGATGAAGTTGCTCCTAGCTTAATTTATGACTTTCTGAGATAGTAAGCATTTTCATAAAGTGTGTTTTTCCTAAGGGTATACAAGTTTGGGTATTTAATTTTTGAGTGAGTATTAACTTGGGTTTTTTTTTTCCTTAAGTATTTGGAAATAATAAAGTAGATGGCTTTTTTTTATAATTTAGTCTAAAAGAGTCACAAATTAAATATCAATATTTATGTTAGGGTGTACAATAATATTTATATGCAGAAAGCAGGAGAGAGAAGTATGTATGTACGGTGAGCTTTTTTCTAAAACAATAGTATTTAATATATGAACAGATAGTCTTGCCATTTCCAGGAGAAGTATATTTTTAGGGTCAGATAAGCTAGTGACAAAGCAATACGAAAGGCCAGTATCTGATGAAACATTAACGTCTGTAAACAGTGTCATTTGGATTCCAGGAGATTGATCTGAAATGTTTTTTAATACAGGTTCAGTTCTGAAATGGACCCTTTCTCTTTCTCTCCTGTATGGACTTGAAAGCCAGTCTGTAGTTGCTTCTTGTTTTCTTTTCCCACAGGCTTTCTTTTACTAAAGCTAAAGTATTTTGAAAAAAGTTCAGCTTACTATAGAGAAGAAATTTCCATGTTCCTTGACAGATTTTCATTAGTTTCTATTTCACACCTGGTCAGAGGGTGCAACGTGTATGGAGAAAAAGAACTTGCCTTTTTAGTCTGTTACAGATTGACGTGGGAACAGGACACAGAATACCTGACTTTCCCTGGCCTGTGAAGTCAGGTACTGTAACCATTGTTGTCCCTTCTGGCATGTTGTCCTTAGTATCCCTTAACATACTCTTTTTAAAACTAGGTTAACAGGGAGCACTTTCTGTATTGTTCCCTTTCAGTGTTTTAAGTAACTGTTTCCTGATAAGCTGAAATCAACCATTCCTGCAGCTGTACAGAATTTCTCAGAAACCTTCTGTTCTGTGTGCATCTATGATTTTCTCATTTAACATCCAAACATGATTTTACCATACTTGATCTTTAATTTCCCAAGGTCTGGGCTTTCCATTTGTGATCTTCTATCCATATGCCTCAGCAGCATCTGGCTGTCTAATCCAGTATGTTTGGGGGAAACCACTTCTATGTGGGCTGTCAAGAAAAAAATGAAAGTATTTTATATGTCGTTACTGTTAGGTTTATCAGTTCAGCGTGACCTACTAGCGGCCTTTCAATATCTGAAGGGGGCCTACAGGAAAGCTGGAGAAGGGCTTTTTACAAGGGCCTGTAGTGATAGGACAAGGGGCAATGACCTGGAACTGGAAGAGGATAGATTTAGATATTAGGAAGAAATTCTTCACCATAAGAGTGGGGAAGCACTGGAGCAGGTTGCCCAAGTAAATTCTGGATGCTCCATCCCTGGAAGTGTTCAAGGCCAGGTTGGATGAGGCTTTGAGCAGCCTGAGCTAGTGGGAGAGAGGTGTCCCTGCCCATGGCAGGGGGGTTGGAACTATATGATCTTCAAGGTCCCTTCCAACCTTAACCGTTCTATGATTCTATGATTCTTATATCTCCTCATAGATTGATTCATTGCTGGGTCAGATATGCGAGATGAAAATGCAAAGTAGCTTAAAATTTGTTGTAAACCAGCATAATGCTCAAAGGAGGCTGGCTCTTCTTTTCTCTATGTTTATTTTTAATTATTTTCCTTGGATAGAGAGAGTAAGCTAATATTCAGTTGCTTGGCAGTAGTCAAGCTGTGAAATTACACCCAACCTGTGGGGCATTACGGTTGCTTAGTTCATGCATGTAAATTTGGAGGTTTGAAAACAGAACAAGTCCACACCCATAGTGTCTTCTTGGAAAGTTTGTTCTTTTAATCTTAATGGCATTAATTTAGTGGTTCCATTTTCAGAGATGTTGAGTATTGACAATTTTTAGAAAAGTCAACTGGGTGCTTTGCATTGCTTCAATATTAGTTTGAAATATTAGAAAATTTATGCTGCGACTGGAATGTACCTCAGTGCAGTATGTTCGTTCTGATTTATTTCAAATCTTTAGTAAACTTTACGTACTTCACACATGAAATACAGGTAAGCAGGAAAAAATTGTCTCAGATTTAGAAGTACTACTAACAAAAGCAACCTCTGGCAGTAATCCTTTAAAGAAAGTAGAAGAGAGAATTTTTGGTGGATACATTTGATTGGTCTTTTGGCAAGAAAAACCAAATTATATAAGGATACACTTTTAAAATGGTCTGTACCAATGGTAATGAGGAGAGATGCAGCCGTAGTCACCTTGTTGCACCAGTTATTGTGCTGTAAGGATTTTAAAGAGCTTTTGTCTTTTGCTTACAAAAGCAGCCTGCACTTGGAAAGACCTCACTTCTCAAATGCTTACACATAGTTCACAGTTTGTGGAAGTAAGTCTGTAAGATGTCTTTGTTGGTTTGGCGCTTCTGTGTTTTTCTTGGTAGTTGAAAAAATCCTTCAGAAATTTAAATGGGTAGTGCCATGAAGGAGGTGTTTGCCTTTATTTCTGTTTTGTGTATTTATTGAATTTATTACAGTAGTAGTAATTACTCTTCCTCTGATACAAATACAGAAGTTGATGTATTACTGTGCTATGTTTGTTTTAGGAGCCTTTGGATGATTCTCAAGTAGCTGGAGTTTGTGCAACAGAAGAAGTGATCCGCTATGAATATCACGTCTTGTACTCCAGCAGCTACCAAGCACCTGTGCTTTATTTTAGGGCGTGCTTTTTAGGTAAGATCAGTGTTCTGTCACACAAAGGGAAGAAGAAAAATATGTTGGATGCAATAGATGTTAAAAACACAGATTCTGTATTAAGCTGAGTAATGATCTGAGTAATGATCGTATGTAATAAGAAAGTAAGAGACGAGGCTCTTCATCAGTAAATTTTGTAACACTCCCGACACAGAGTTTCTGGACCTTGGAGTAGATGATATCATCTCAGCCTGAAGAAGGCTGATCTTTGGCTCCTGGCATCTTGCCTGTGTTTGACTATAACTGCTGGTAATTTTTCTTGTTCTTTTCTTTAAATGAAAAAAAAAACAACAAAAACCCCTTAAAGTTGCAGGTTTGAATTTGATTACAGAATAACTGAACATAATTACAGTGCTTCCGTGGAACTGTGTCTGTTTCTTTGGAGCCTGAATTTGAGCCACAGGGCTAGGAGTCTGAATATGCCTTTAAAAGTGTATGCTGCTTTCCATTTAAATTTGCTGCTTAAAAACCCCCACGGCATGCCAGTCAGGTGTTGCCTTTTTCTATCTATTAAAACTGGCTCTTGAAACACTAACCGGTCTTCTTTCCTCCCTGATATGTACATCTTGTTACTGATTACTCAATTGCTATAGCCACTGTGATTTCACTTGCCATCCTGTTCGGAAGGAAGGAGGAACACAGAGCCTCCCTCCAAGGCCGCTGTTAGTGTCACTTATTTAATCAGCAACCACAGAGTGATCAGGCTGCAGCACTGCCTGTGCTCTGTTCCTCTCTACCCGAAGACTGTGTACCTAAGGCGGAGGGATTGAAATCTTCAAGTTCTTTTCATTCAGTCTCGTGCATGGTAGCATCAGCATCTTTTTGTGTTTTGAATAATCTCTTAACTTTATCTAGATAAAGATGTCTGAATATTGCCAGTGATATCTTTTCCTTTTTAATTAAAAAGTGGCTTAAGCTGCTTTAAATGTGTTTGGTAGATTTAATCACTCTCTGCCTTATATTGTTTAATGGTTTCTAATTTTGCAGTGTTAGCGTTTTAAAAGGCACTTTAGATTTAAAATTGAAGAACAAATTCTCATAGACTCCCTGGTGGAAAGATCTTAGTCTGAGGTGCAGTTTCAGGAATGGATAATTTGGGGAAAATTTTCAAACTGGGACATGGGGAATTGGGGACATTGCTCTGCCTTTGCCACTAACAGAACTCATTTGCACACATCCTGCTGCAAATTTATTTCCAGAATTATTACAGGCATTTACAAATGTGCAGTGTTTTGCCTTTAAACTTACTGTGCAGACAGCCATATAAAGTTTTCTGTAAGAGACAGATTAACCTATTTGTAGTCCTGAAAAATGTCATCTTCTTCGGTTTAGCGGAATTAATAGTGCACTGTCTCTACAGAAGAGGATGGAGACACTGCAGGTAGAGGAAATAGGACACTATTTCTACTGTACTGTACTTCCATGTAATTAGTATTCACCATAAGCAGTTAATCACCAGAGAAGAGCTCCCAGAGACAAAACAAGTTGTTTAGCTTGTCAGCATCAGGGAATCGGAGGTGTTGAAACATGACTCCTTATAGCTGGAAGTGGATATTACAGAAGCCAGTGGATGATCTAATGCACAATCATAGTATTACGTGCCAACAGCTCCCCTTGCAGTACAAAACTGTAATTGTTCCTACAAGTACAATTGTGTTTTAAAACACGGGAACCTTTAGCAATGGAAAACAAGGACTATTTTTAAGTAATTCCTGAAGTCACCTGGGTTCTCTTTAGTGTTGAATATTCTCTTTTGACATTTAATTTTCCCCAGCTCTTGAAGAGAGAAATGCTGGGAATAAGTACTTCTATAATGTTTTCAGTTAGTATTCTCAACTTACGGATAGCTTACTTCTGAAAATGAAAAATTCTGTCATCCCTGCACATTATTTGCTTGCCTGTGCCACTCTGTCTGAAGGTCCCAACATGAGGCTTTCAGGTATGTGCAGTCAGTTACAGTAACTTGAGATATCTGAGCAAAATATCTTTTGTCTTGTTATGAACCTGGTATGAGGAAAACTCTAGCTAATACCTTGAGAGTTTTTTCCTTTGAGGTAATAATTAGTCTTGATGTGATAGGCTCCTCACCTTGTTTCTCAGACAGCTAGAAATATTCACTGCATTTCTCATCTGAAATAATCAGGGAAAAATCTTCTGAGATTTACATCAATTTCCCAGTCTAAATTCCTACCATTATTTGTAGATTAAGTAACAGAATCAGTTTCTCACAAGTCTCTTGTGAAATGTTCATGATTTCCCTTGAATCCTGCCCATGCTGATCTTCATGTTAATTAGAGCTTGTTGCAGGAGGTGAAGGTGAGCTATAATCCTTCCAGTGTTTCCACAGCCCTGTCCGGTCTTGCCTTCCTCAGCAGCAGGGCATAGAATTTGAATTTGAAACTCTGCTGCCTTTCTGGCAGTATGTTAAGTGGCATTACACCTTGAGGCCTGCCTAGGAACTAATAATTCTGTTAGACCTGACTAAGTAGTTTTGCTTGTTTTGCAATGTTCAGTTCTCCACTTTATTTGTTACAGTAGCAACTGGTGCTAGCTTGTCCAAATCTGCACTCTTCCAGACTCTTTAAAAGCTTTTTTAGAACAATTAAATCCTGCCTTTCTCTCATTGTGCGCGAGTCCAGTTTTCACTGACTTAGTCTCTTGCAGCCCCTCCTAGGAAGAAGAGTTGCTGGGGAGATTTTCCTGTCATCTTCGGCATGGTCAGCATCTTCACAAGCTTGTGTTAGTGACGACACCCAGTTTTCACTCCTCTCCTAGCATCTCTGCTCAAACGTTATAGATCAGTTTTTCCTGTAGAACTGCAAAAGTTGCATTGTATCCTTATACTTGCTGCTGTCTACATTGGATAAAATAACATACATTCTGTAATTCATCTTTAGACCCCTTTTTTTTGTGAGATGAAGTTGGATATGTAAGTTAGCACAAGATAAGCGTTTGAAATTTAAATTACAATGGAACTAAAACATTTTGAGAGACATGTAAACTTTTTGGTAGTCTCTGGGGATGGATTTACACTTGTTCTGTGCAAGGACAAATACTTCAGCTGAAAATAATGATTACGTGTGATGATTCTGGAAAGGTCTTTGGAAACATTATGGGATACAAGAAGGCTGTATGTATATATATATATGTATAATAATGAAATATTTCTCACTACCTCATGATCCTTCCCATGTGGCCTATATTCCTGAATTCAGACCTACGGAAGACGCAGCCTGTGTCAGAAGCTCAAGGTCTTCAATACCTCAGAAAACTAGGTGTCATTTCTCCAAAATCATCTTATGCATGGCATACCTTTCAGAAGTGGGAGCCCTTCTTTTTTTTCTTTTTTTTTTTTTTTTCCTGGCTTCTGAGCTTATAGGTAGTTGAAGAAATGCATGAACCCCTGCTGATATCTGATGTCAGCAATTAGCCCTCTTAGAGACAGATGGTATAGGCAATTAGCCTTCCCCTTCAATGCTGGCATGAGCCAGATGGGCTGGGCTAGGTCCAGTAAGCTTTCTTTAATCAGCAGAGTCTTTTCCCCTTTTTCTTAGTCTTTAAGATGTCAAGAAACCAATCGTTTCCTGAACTATCATCATCTGAAGCCATGCCCTCAAAAACCTCATGCACCAGCAGTGAGGTAGCAGCAATACCATCAGAGGTGGGTGCAGGCATCATTCAGGAATCACCCTGCATGTTAAGAAAATAATGCCTCATCTCACACTTTTCTCATTTTTTTTTTCCTACAAAGGTAGAGGAAGAATATAAGTTCTGGCTAAGCACTGAAAAGAAAGAGCTAAATTAATAGGAGTCTGTAAGGACTGCAGCCTAGCTCCTCTAGCAAAGAGAGAAGGAAAAGGAACGTGATTTTCAAGTTGACCTGATCAAAATAGGTCTCGCTCTCTGACATATAGATACACCTCTGCCGATAAAAAACATGCTAATCAGTGGTTAGAGAGAGGAAGCTTGTAAGATAATGTAACTTCTTCTGACCCTGGAGGCATGACTTTCTGCATTCATAACTATATTGTGCCTGATGGATGTATTTTCCAGAATACAGACTTAGTGAACTCAAAAGCATGTAACCACTGTCCTTTCTCAGAAAACAGAGATAGCTCCTCTTAATACCATGTCCCAAATGAAATGATTCTATTGTGGCTTTGGACATAAAATTAAAAAAAATTGTATAATCAGATACTATCCTAAGCTGTAAGGATGTTTGCTTTTGTGGAAGTGGTTTCTTAAGAGTATTTCTGTAGTTAGTATGCCAGAACGAAGCCTCAAAACAATTTGTGCACCATTTCACTGAAAGCGTTAAATAACCTTTAATTGGAAATAAAATAAATTCTTAAAATCTCTCACTAAACATAAAGAAAACAGAATACAGCAATTTGGAAAGCCTGAAAATTTTCTCTAAAAAGGTATATGAAATTTGTATGTGTAAAGAATATCTGCAGAAATTAAGGTGGCAAGTCAGCAGGGAGCTGCAGCTCATATGTAGTCTTCATGCCACACGTTGCTGCTCTGAGGGGACACTCAACCATCTGCTTTTTAACTATTTCTTATTTGTGGTGATATAATCAAATTAACCCCTAGTGAACCATCACAAAGCTCTTCTCAGAAAAGTTTGTTACAATCTAGACATTTTAAATAATAAAAATTGGAGTTTATGATAGAAAAGCTGTAGTTTTTCTTGCGTGACTGTTAAGGCAGGTGAACTGGTTGATTTGAGCCCATAATTAATTAATGGCAGAGACAGAACCCATACTTAGGACTTCTTGACTCCTATCCTTTACTTCCTTTTTCCTAAAAAAAATCTTAGCTGGTTAATTCCCAGGCTCCCCTGCTGTGAACATACCAAATTTATTGTATCAGAGAGTGCATTTCACAGGACCTGGGTTAGTACTGATGAGTTGATGATGTGCCGCCTGCCAGATTTTTGTCACTACGAGCATGAAGCTTCAGACAACGGTGCAGTA